ATGCTGTGTATTCTTGTGCCTGGTTCCCCTCTTTTTTTTTTTTTTTTTTTTTTTTCAGTCCCGGGAATTGAACTAAAGACCTTGTGCTTGCCAGGCAAGTGCTTATTTTACTGAATAAGCTGTGTATTCTATGCTGTGTATTCTTGTGCCTGGTTCCCCTCTTTTCTCTGCATTTTGGCTGACAGCAATTGAGTAATTTTGTTCCACTAAGCCTTTTCATCATGCCAGTTCTGCCTGGGAGTCAGCCAAGCAGAGACTGAAATCATAAGCCAAACAAACATTTCCTCCTTTTTTATTTTTTTTCTCCTTTATTTTTTAATTTTTTAAAAATTTATTTATGTATTTGGTACAGGGTCTTCACTACACAGCTGAGACTCATAGTGATCCTGTTTTCAGCCTTCTCAGCACTGGGATTACAGGCCTACGTCACCATGCCCTGACTTGGTGGCCCACTCAGCGTGCCCCAGTGGCAGGGCCTGCGCAGCAAGTGGTACCAGGGATTGAACCAGTCCCCACGCAGGCCTAAACAGACACTTAGTCTGCTGAGCTATCTCGCTGGCTTCTCCTACTACCAGGCAAGTGCTCTGTCACTGAGTTATACCCTGTTCAATAGTGTCTATCACCAAGGGGACTTACACAAAGGACAAATGAATGACTAAAAAGAGAAACAAAGACTTTATTGTGTTGAGAGGAGTACATAGTTAAGAGCCAAACCCATCTCCAGCTTTGGTGGCCCCCATTCCTTTGAGGGCCCCAATGTGCAGTACATCTTTATGGCCCCTTAATTCTCAAGTCTGCACAGGCATGAGCTGCGGGGACCTGTGCCCAACACACAGAGAAGGACGCTTGAAGGTTACTTCATGCTGATCCATGCTCAGCTGCCCATAGGTGTCCAGACCAGAGTCCCTGTGGTTCAGGTAGAGTCCTGCATATGTGTTCTCAATTCAGAGCAGCTCTGGGGGTACTGAGCAGAAAGCTCTGGCTCCAGGCTTGGCAGACAGAGAAGAGCTTGGTGCTGCTCTCTGGGCAATGCAGCTGTCCTGACCTCTAGGGATGGCAGGACCAAGACCGAGGTGTCACTAGGTCCCAGAAGGTTGTCTGTGCCAGAAAAGGATAGCATGTGGAGATTGCTTTTGGCGACCCTTATTGTATGTCCAAGGCAAAGGAGCCCATTTCCCCATGCCAGGTGCTGACTCTGACCCTGGTTTTATACTGGAGAAAACAGGGGCTGGCTGATGGGTCCTCCTGATGGGGTAGTGGTGAGCGCTGTGTTTTCTTACCTGGGGCAGAAGACAGCGCCGCCGCGCATACCACTCTTGACAGTACAGGCTGACCTGGATGCCCTGGCCCAGGAAAAGCAAGGTCCACATCAGCACATTCCATGCAGGGCCTGTGTGGTGGTCATTCATCGTGAAGTTCAGAAGCCCTGGTGTGGGAATAAAGGTTGTCACTCCAACTGCAGACCCCACGCTCTGCTTGCCCTTCTCTTGGGCTCTGGGAAGCCATGGAACAGGAAGGGCCCAAATCATCCTTGCTGGCTCCCAGCTCTGCCTCCCTTGATGCTCCCAACTCTCTTCCCATCCTGCCCTCAAGCTAAGCAGCCTCCCCATCAATCTTGGATCCCCGGGAGCAGGACCTTCATCTCCTCCCTCTGGCTATCTCCCCTTTAGCAGCACAGAGGCAGGCTCACCCCCAAACACAAGGAAGAGCATCAGCATGACGGGGTAGAAGAACCCCAGGACGAAACAGAAGATGTACTCGTGTACCACCGCGGAGACCAGGAACACACCCATCATGGCTGCCCCTCGGGCCCGGCCACCAAGGAGCTGGCAGGACAAGGGGGAGTGAGGAGTGAGTCCCACCCAACTCCTTCATGAAGGGCTACCTCCTTGGGGAAGCCAGGACAGACTATAGTGCGATGAAAGAATATGGGACCCAGGGACAGAACAAAAGGGCTGACCTCAGTCTCACTTAAGAACACTGTATTAGCCCACTGGGCCTTAGCTGCACTTTTGAAATGGGAATATAATAATCCTTACTCCTCAGGGGTCACTGTTCTGATTAAATAGATATACATAAAAATCGGTGGTAACAGAATGGTTACATGCATGTTCCTTTGAAGGCCAGAAGGGAAAAAGTGGCTCTAAGGCAGACTTTCTGCACACTGTGTTGGGTAGAAAGGGCACAGATTAAATCCAGAGTTCTTGGATCTGGACAGGACAGGTGGTGCAGAGGCAGGAAAGGAGAGGGTACCCTGGACAGCCCCCATTAGCAGAGGGAATGAAAGGTCTTCTGGGCCATACCCACAACCCATCCTGATACACGTAGCTGTACAGCCAGTCATGGACAACCACGTTCCATGTACGGTAGTAGTTGGAGAAAGATGTTGAGTTCCACCAGTCCTGGGGAGGGAATGCAGCCCAGTGAGAGAAAGATGAGTATGCTAGACCCCAGCTTCTCCCCATACTCCCTGCTCCTGATGCCTACACCGTGCCCCTCTGTGCCCCAAAAGGGCTGGCCTCTGGCTGAGTAGAGATATCAGCACATTCCCAGCTCCCTCTTTGAGACTAGGGCCTCCCCCTCCTAGACAAGGAAGATTACATTGTTCCATCCACACAGATACAGTCACTTCTGGCCATCAGGCAGTGGAGGGTGGCATTAACCCACACCTAGAGAGGCCTGTGCTGTGCATCCTGGGAGGCCGAACACAGTGACGTGACACCCAACACAGCCACCGTCTCCTCTGATCCCAGCCCTCCCTGAGTCCAGCGTGGCTGTGGTCCAGGCCCCACCCGGTAGAACATCCTGTCTCCAAATCGTAGCATCTCAGCGAAGGCATTGAGCCAGCAGTGCAGGAAAGCGAAGAAGATGAGCAGCAGCATGAAGATGCCTGGCAGTGGGGATAAGGGCTACAGTCAAATCTTACCAAGGACTCATCAGTCCTTCACAAATTCACATATTGGTTAATTTATCCATTTGCTTGTGAATACTTATTTGGCATCTACCTCATGCCAGATGTTGGGAATAGAGGTGAATCACACAGTCCCTCATCTTGGGAGCTGACAGACTGTCTGGAGAGACAACAGAGACAGAGACAGAGAGGCAGCGAGACATGTCCAAGTATCCATCAAGGTCAGTGCAGTGCGAATGAAGCACAGCAGCCACTGATGTGCTCCGGAGGGCAGAGGCACAGGTGTGTCACCCTAACTGATGGTTAAGCAAGGAAGACTTAGCCAGGAGAGGCAATGTGCTCCTCAGGAGACTGAGGCTACTTGAGCTAAGAAGTTCAAGGCCAGCCTGAATGGAGCAACAATGTCTTTAAAAAGACAGGATGCTAAAGAGGAGGGGAAAGAGAAAAAGAAGGATAACAACAAGAATTAGAAGAGGAAGGGGTGGAGGAAAAAAAGGAGAGAGGCTTCCCAAAAGGAGCTAACTCAGCCATAGACTACTGAAAAGGAACTAGATCCATTGCTGGGAAATGGGCAAAGAGCATTCCAAGCTGAGGGACTCATATGTGCCAATGTCCAGAGGTACAGGGAGTTTGTGTCTTTGGGGGGACAGCTGGGCTTGTGAAGGATGAGGAGGTGGCTTGGGGCCTTCAATGCCAGACAAGGGTTTAAGTTTTATCTGGACAAGCCCACACTGGAGAATCATTGGTGTTTGAAGTAGTACAGGGAATGATTAATTCATAGCAGTGTTAGGGAAATTCACCTGGGACTGAGGGTCAGGTGCAGAGGGAGAGGGGAGTTTCAGGGGTAGGATCATAGGATAAGCTGAGATGGTGTTGATGAACACACACAGGAGGGGACAGAAGGGAGAGAAACTCAGAAGGAGGAGGCTTTGAAACTGACAGCAGCACAGAGTGAGGTCTTGCCTTCCAAGCCTTTCCCAGGGCCAGTCTCCTGTCCTGCCTTAAAGGGCTTACCTGGTAGTGTGGCATGCAGAATTGAGAGCACCAGCGCACGGGTGCTGAAGGGCTCCTGACTCATGTTGGCAAAGAGAGGGACACAGAGGCGACCCAGGATGAAGCAGGCATAAAGCACACAGCACAAGGCCTGCAGAGGGAGCCAGGGCGCACAACTGTGAGGGAGCACTGGTTCCCCGCTGGAGGTTGGACTCTGGCCCAGCCCCTGCCCTGTCCTCCCAGAATCTGCCTCTTTCCCTCCCAGGCATCCCTGTCCACACTCCTGGGAATATCCCCTGCCACTGTGAGTCACAGCTGGCCATCTTCTATCCCATCTTCTGACCTGGGCGAAGTTCTTGGCCACATAATTCCACCTGATGCTGGAAGTCCTGCAGCAGCAATAGGATTAATATGTTTCTCAGCCTTTTCTGTCACTCTCTGCCCAGGCCTACGACCCTCTCTCAGCACGTCCTCTGTTGCTCAGGCTTGGGTGGACTATCTGGGGAGATGTGGGCCTAGAGCACTTTCCATAACAAAAATGGCAACTGAATTTTTAGCTTGGGTGTCAACTAAGGTGACCAGCCACCCTGGGTTTCCTGAGATGTTGACTACTAAAATCAGAACAGAATTGGGCAAACCAGGAAAGTTGATCATTCTAGTGACATCATGCGCTGGGTGAGGGGGGCAGGCATCTACCTCCCTCTTTCTTTCTTTCTTTCTTTCTTTCTTTCTTTCTTTCTTTCTTTCTTTCTTTCTTTCTCTTTCTTCCTTTTCTTTTTTGGTCCTTTTGAGAGAGGGTCTCACTATGCAATCCAGGCTGCCTTGAATTCGCTTGTAGTCCAGGCTGAGCTCCAACTCACAACAATCCTCCTACCTCAGCCTCCCGAGTGCTGGGATTACAGGGGTGCACCACCATGCCCGGCTTCCTTCCCATCTTTATTGTGGGGTGCATCCAGAGCAAGTAGCCAGGGCCCAGCAAGGAAAGTAAAAGTACAAGGTTCCTGGCGGGCCTGGGAATTTGGGGAGGGTCTTGCCTGGGGTAAGTCTCCCGGTAGATGAGTGTGGGGCAGAAGAGGAAGTAGAGGTAGCTGGAGAAACTGGGGGCCCAGACCCCCTCACCTGGGGAGGAATAAGAAGGGTGGGTCAGGAGGGGTGGGTGAGAGTGGGCATAGGGGTGGTGAGCTGGCTGCTGGAGGGAGTGGGATTAGGAAGTAGAAATTGGATGGGCAAAGGCCTGGATATAGGGTCTGCCCCCCTTTGCTGGGGACTGAACTTAGGGCCTTTACAGAGTTATATCTTTATTTATTTATTTATTTATTTATTTATTTATAGAGTCTGGCTAAGTTGTTTAGGCAGGATTTGGACCAGTGATCCTCCTGCCTCAGTTTCCCAGAGTGCTGGATTACAGGAATGTGTCAGCACTCCAGCCTATACCCTTTCTTTTGCTTCTATTCCAGGCATCCCATTTTCCAATGTGGAGCCAACTGTGGCCAGAGTTCCACTTAGCGACCACAGTGCCATGACCCATTCTTGTTGCCCTTCTTTCCTGACTTTCTCATATGTGTTCTCAACCCTGCGTTTCTCCAGGTGGATGGGGAACAGGAAAGCATCAGAAGTCCTGGATAACAGAGCGTGACTCCCCAAAGTGGGACCTGGGAGCCCTAGTGACTAAGCCCACAAAGCCCATCTGAAGGCCAAAGCTAGGCCTGCTGGGCAAGATGGCTTGGGAAGGCTGAGCTTTTATGAGCACTATGACAGGGTTCATGACAGAGCCAGCTGAAAGCCTCACCTCCTTTCACACGAAGGGTCCCAGGCACAGTCTCTCTCAGGAAGGAGTAGCTTTTCATCAGGAGCCTGACCTGATGTGGATAGGAGGAGAGGCCAAGTCGCCAAGTGGCTCTGAGAAAATAACCTCTCTGTGTCTTGTTTACCACAAAGGCAAGTGGAGTTAAGATCTGTCTGGTCAGAGCCCGTCCTCCCTGGTTTAGTCTGGTGGCCTTATAATCTAACACAAATAGGTGCTGGGACAAAGGACAAGGAGGACAGGAGAGGACAGGTGGGGATTTCTTCTCACTAACTCCATATGACGATGAAGTCAGATTATGTTTGCTCAGCAGCCTTTTTGCTTACTTTCCTTAGAGCCCCTTGGGTTCTATCAGATCCTCATAGTCATCCCCATCCCTGTCAGTACTGTATCCCCCGCCTTCTCCATGGGGCCCACTCCTAGTTTAACTCACTGTGCCCCAGTCCCATTGCAGGCTCACCCTTACCTGTTCAAAGACCAGTACACAGCGGGAAGCCGGCGGCAGTTCATGCTTCAGGACCACATGGACCGGGAGGATGCAGAGCACTGAAGCATGGGCAGCCAGCAGCACACAGCCCAGGGCCACCCCCAGTGTCCAGAGGCCCCCAGTCTGGGGCCTTGAACACAGCCGCAGGGCCTGGTAGGGCACCAACAGAGTGGACAGGAACATGGGGACCCACGTCACCAGCGCTAGGGGCAGCTGTCCGAAGCTGAAGATCAGTAGGTCTAACTCTAGCACCAGCCTTGGGGTAGGGGAGGTAGAGAGAGTAGACAAAAGTATAACCCATCCTTGTCCTGACCTTCCTCAATCACTGCTCTTGGATGATGAGTTGAGGTGTCCTTGCTAAGGCTGTGTGGTGCATCTGTTAAGGTGTTCAGGGTAAAGCCCCTGTGACCCAGGACTTGGGAGAGGGGAGGCATTGCCAGGGGAGGGATTCTAAAAGGTCTTTAGAACCCTCTGTGAATTCTATGGTGTTCTGAAAGTGTTCAATACTCTGTATAACAATGGAGTTAGGGTGTGAGATAGTTAAAATTTAACTTTGATTTATTATTAGTTTTTGGGTTTTTTTGGTTGGAACCAGGGATTGAACTCCGGCCCTTGCTCTTGTCAGAGAAGCGCTTATTCTACTGAGCCATCTCCCCAGCCCCTATCATTGGTTTTGTTCTTCTGGAATGTTTATTGTAGAGTTCCTAAGAGTGTGTGCTTTGTGGGGTGTGGTGAGCATGCCTATAATCCTAGTACTTGAGAATCTGAGGCTGGAGGATTGCCACAAGTTCAAGACCAGCCTGGGCTACATAGTGAGTTCAAGGCCACTATGCGCTAATGACTGTGTCTCAAAAAAGAGTGTAAACTTTGTAAAGGTGAAAAAATGTGAAACAATCGGGCTGGAGAGATGGCTCAGTGGTCTAAAGCACCTACTTG